AGTAGTTCGTATAAAAATGAGTAACCTCAGGACAGTTTTCCTCACAGATTAACATCAGCTAAGGAAGTGCCATAAACTAGAAAACAAGAAACACCTGTTCCCTCCCAGCTTAAGACTCTCCATTTGCTTGCGCTTATAACTTCATGCAACATAGATCCAGGGTCAATAAGACCTGAATCACACGTAACCTGACATGGATTCATCACACCACATCAAGAACGTCCGGTAATCCTTGAGGTTGGTATAGAGCTGGTTTGATTAGATATTTCAGCCTAGAGCTATTTTCTTTCAGATTAAATAAATAATTCACACAAAATTTCTAATTTATTCTTGTTCATACCTTGTGTACTATAGGTTCATTCATCATTACATCTAAAAAATTTGTTATTTTCATATGATATCCCACAATGATCAGGTGAAAAAAAGAAAAATTACCAAGTGACATTGGTAAATTTGTTGTTGTCTGGAAACTGAAAAACATGTTTACACATGAATGTGAAATCAAAGTGAGAAAATGGTGAAAAAGCACAATGGGTACCAATTTTAAAGTGATGCACAATGAATATAGACATGCATAAATTTTAATGAAACAAACTTCACTACAGAGCAATGTTGCACTTTCCAGTACTTTCCAATATATAAGTTTCAGACTAAGCAATTTTCACTCGTCAAATTATAAATGTTTGGGAGATAACGCTCCTTGGTTAAAGAAGAGAAGAAAGCAAAAAGAAAGAAAATAGATGAAAGATAACTTCAGACTGTATCGAACTTTATAAAGTTACGACCGTAGATACTACAATATTCTTAATTCCTGTTGGCGCTTGACTCTGCCCTGGGGCCGCTCTTATTAAATAGGCATACCATCTCACCTACTGAGTCGTTGATCACAAACCGACTGCATTCTTCTATTGTTTATCGGGGAAGAAGCAGTATACTGTTCAGAAGGTGGAGGGCTGCAGTTCAGTACTTGTTGAACTCGGTGTTCCTGGGTGAAGGACTTTTAACTCTTCAGTTATTTTTATGTTTGCACGGCTTACCTTATTCTGGTAATACCAGTTTTGTCAAGTATGCGGATGATCTGACAATTTCCGTAGCCACTTGTTTCTCAATTAGGTTGTTCATAAGAGAAACGTTTTTTGTCTGGAAGTGACTAGTGGTCCTTGTCATATAGTCTTAAGCTAAATGTCACGCTGTTGATTTTAGTCACAGGTCTAAAAGTCACTTGTAAGGGCTGTTTCGATCTCATGAATGTTGTGGTATTGACGCTATTACTGTAGAAAAAAAATAAAATGTTATTTAACCTGGGCCAGGTTTTCTTACTGTTCGTTTTTGGTCGTCTCACTGCAACAAAATTTACTACTCATAATTATTTCAAACATCATCTAGTCGGTAATATTGCATTATTGTGTACTATATTAAAAGAAACAGTTAATATGGAATTACACTTTACTACAGTGTTTAAATTTTACGTCTATTTGCATATTATGTTGGTTCAACATATTGAAAGATACATTTACTAGCTGGCAGATTGGGCTTTAATATCTTGTTTATTCGATATCAGTTTGACTAGTTACACATATACGGATCTTAAGGTGTATCTGAAGACTGGCATGAAAAGCTGGACGATTTCAACTGACAAACTTTTGAATAAACGCCATCAATTTTTGATAGTAGTTATAGGTTATTCCCGAAAGTAATACGTCGATACTTTTGAACAAACCAACTTGACCTTGAAAGATGGAGTCTTATTTGCACTTTCTAACTGTTCGCTACTTCAGCAGTTAGCAGGTATCGTTACTTTATGAAAAACAATATTTAGAAAATGCCTAGAATTTCAATATTTCCAACCCGGAAGATGTTGGTAAACAACTTAGGTTTAAGCTTGAACTTCTATAATTACTAGACTAATATCTTTGCTTAAAGCATATGAAATGCTAATCCTATCATCATTCCACACATCTCCCTGACTTCTTTGCAGGCATATCAAAAGGTGGGTAAGTCAACTGAGTTTTATACTCCTTACAATCATACAAATATGATCATAAGTAAACTAAAGAACGTTAAAAAAACGTTATTCTTGCAACTGTTTTCATTTCTAATGATTACTGACGTTAGTCACTTTTCGTAATGTTTAAGGTATACATATGGACAACTATGAATCATACCACACCACTCACACACATACACACATACACACACGTAAAGAATGAATATTGAGCCATGTCAATTAAAATGATAAAATTGCTAAATTTATATAATATTCAATTCAAACAAACAACTGTTTACTGAATATACTTCCACAGTTGCTGTGGTTGTTATTTTAATGATTGTCATAAAGCATTTTGATAAACTCTCGTCATTCTTTAATTATTTGGCGCGTCTGGAATTGTTCTGTGGTTTACAATATTGGTAACTAAGTTTAGGGTGAATAAATACGCCATTACAATGCAGTTGTACAAGCACATGTTTAGATTACCATAATATGTATTCAATTCCCTTCCCTATATATTTCGTCCCATTGTGAAGTAAACAAATAGATAAGAGATGACCATGGCAACTCCTGAGACAGGATGTAATAAACATCTACTTAAAACAAAGGCGAAGAACTTCAGACACAATAAATATTAACTTCCTTTACAAACACAAAAAGTAAACGAATAGAATTTGTCGACTTTTTACCCTTGGGCCAGAATAAAAATAATTCAACAAACTTGTGGTAATAGTACAGACTATACATTTATTATTTTGCACTTTTTCTTGTTTCTGTTCAAACAGATTTAAAGATTATACTGATAACAACAGTTATAATAACAATAACAGGACTAGAGAGCTGACCAAATAAAGTCAGAAACGATAAAGAATTGTAATTTACCAGAATTGTTGTGTTTTACTCACTTGAATAAGTCAGCTGAAAGCTTAATTGGTACAGAATAGGATAACGGAAACTGAAATAAGGCGAATAAAACCTACTAACCAATTTTTTGATTTGCACGTATGTAGGTGTGTGTATATATATTTATATGTGTGTGTGTGTGATAGAGATTAAAGAATAAGTTAGTGTGTAAATGATTGTGAATATGCGTGTTCAACCGAAACAATGTAACAACCACCTATCCAATCTACTAAGTGAGATAATAACTTTTCTTTTAAATGTTGAATAGCCAAAATAAAAATAATCGTAATAAAAATTATGAATTTTCTATCATGAAAAATAAAGATCAAAAGTAAGCCGATATCCAATTATATTTCAAAAGGCTATCATGATAATGAGTGCAACTATGAACTATAAAACATGAAAAATGTTGATTATGGAGGTGAGAAGGTTTGCTTACTAAAATACCATCTTGACATATATGGGTACTATTCATCATGAAACATTCAGAATAAATCAATTCAAGAGGTTAATTGGTATATTTTGCAGATATAAACATTGCACTACAAGGTCTAGTAACTTCTGACCAATATTCAGGTCACTGTATGCATCATTTAGACGGAAAGTGTAAAGCTCACATTCTTTCAAATTATAGCTAAAAAATTTTATTTCAAGTCAGATGATTGGAAATTTTCAGGACTAGGCATCTTTTCATCTTAGCAATAATCACCAGTGTACCTAGTACTGCTTTCAAGACTGTTGCTTATGTCCTCCAGGACCTCGATCAAAGTCGTTACCTATGATCAGTATATACAGACATCTTGTCGGGGTAATTGTGCGTACTGTAAAATTGTCAATTAGCTGATTTATCCCTCTCCCATTTTTCTACAATATATCATGAATTGTATATACGATAAAGTCATTTGGCTTATTTTAATGTTTTTTCCCCTATGACGTATAAACTGTTCACAACACAATGCAGCCTGTCTGAGCGATGTACATTCCAATCTCCAAGGATTCCCAAAATGTCGTGGTTATAAGTGCGAGTGAACGAAAGCCTAGGTATAAAGGAGTATCTTGACGACCAAAAGCTAATATGCTATATATCAATTTTTCAGTTTGCTTTATTATCCTAATAAAACTTAGAGTTTAATCATCTCTTAACTATAAAGACATTAAGCGATGCAAGTAGGGAAATTAGATAAACTAAGAAACACAGAATGTCTTTTACAGCTGATGGACTGTTTCTCACCCATTGGAAGCATTGTCTAGTTTATGCATTAGGCTGCTTGTTCCTTCTCTGTCATGACAGTAAAAAAAGAAATTCAAATCATTGCTCACTTCAAGTAACCTTTGAGAAGCTCACCAATAATTTGTTTCTTTACCTTCTTCTGTAACTTCACTGAACTGTATTCCACTAGGATCAATGCTTCTGAAGTTATAACCGATCACCTAGGCAGTTGTTTGTAAGCCATGAGAATCCAAATTCTTGTCTATTAGGTTTCAAACGAACACATATAACGTCAATTTTAAGTTTATTGGAATACAGGCCTTATTATTTGTCACCTAGGCGTTATTGCAAATTCACGGAAATTTATAATCCCTAATAAACTTGAGTTGCAGTGGTTTAGCACAAAAATCAATAATTTTACTCCTTGACTGTTTGTAATGCTAGTATACAGACTAAAATATATTGATTAGTTCTTAAAGTCAGTGTCTAGGGTTCTTTTTTGAAAGACTGCGAATAACTAACACAAGATACAACTTATTAATTCGTCCAGTCGGTTTAAATTGATGGGTTGAATACATTTGCTACGGTGTTTTGACTTACAGGAGAAAGTTATGACAAGATTCCTTTGTTAATGACGAAAAGTAGGACAAGCTATGAAAGCTTATGAAATCTAAACTATTACTGTATTCAATCAGCCATTGTTGATAGTTTGAAGTTTATATTGATATGAAACATGATGGTTAATATCCTACAAATTTCTACCTTACTATTTGTAACTGAATAGAAAAACTCAAACAATATGTTAGTGAATTCATTCAGACTCATCACAAAAGGATTCCTCATCGCCTAAGAAAGTACAGTGAATATAAACAAATAAAAAAGTAAAATGACCATAGTGACAGCTGATTATTTATTCTTATTGGTTATTTTGTTTCAAAAAGAAATATCCTAAACAACATTAAAAAGTCACCATATCATATCAGATGAAAAAAATACACTGAATAATAGAAATAAATAAAGAATGAAGACAGTTTTCCAATTAAAGTTGTTAGGAAATAAGAAGGAAGGAAAATTAAAATAGTACAATCACATGACTACTAATAGTTTATATCTGACATAATCATTACCACAGTGAATAATATTACTGGACAAGAATGAAACTAATAACAACCACAACAATACAAAGTTTATACACAAAGGTTAGAACTCGAGAAATTTATGAATATAACTATGAATATATATAGGGAAAGAAGTGGAACTTAGATAGTACCAAACTATATATACAATATGAATGATATTGTTACAGGAAAATACATGAAAATGAAAAATGTTACCTAATTACAGTTGATAACAGGTAAACATCAACTGATCCGTTACATTTATGTACATCAGAAGCATTTATACAGCAAATTATAAGAAGAAAGAAAGAATTATTCTATAAAATTAAATTAACTTCAAAATAGAAATAAGAGTAAAACAACAGTGTACAGAATCTACAGATTTCAAGTTCTATTTACAAGAGTTGATGATTCATTTGTACAGGTTTCCCTTAGATTTCCAGCAATAGACTGACACTTTCCACTTTCAGTATTCACAGCAACATCAGTATAAATTGATGATTTATTCACTAGACTGTCTATTAACTCATAGATACGTTGTATGCGCTTCTTAATGCGTAGTGCTGATAAACGGGAATCTGGATCATCTGACCAACACTCTGGTAATAACAGTGCGAATTGACTGGCGACCAAATATTGTAACTTCATAATTCTTAATTGGATATGATTATTTGATTGTTTACTGTCTCCGTCTAGATTAGTATGGTTACTTTGTAAAGATGATGCGCCAGAAGAAGAACACTCACGACAAACTGTAGGTGCTGTAGTAAAAAATATTACAAGTTTCCAAATTAGTTATGACGAAGGACTAAATAAAGAATATGTTGATAGTGATATGAAAAACATTCTTAGAAGACAGACAGGTAAAATCAAAGTAGAACTTACCAGACAGGTGCACCCCTTCAAGTTCCCACAGTTCACAGTAGTATTCAAAGAACAAATGGGTAGGCAAATAGTGATATCAAAGTAGATAAAGTAGTGTGAAAGAACAAACGACTTGAAAATTAGTGCAAATATTAAAGTTTTAGGAGGTGGCAACTGATGAGAACGTCTGTGTCATTGTGACCAGTTTCCAGTCATGTCACCAAGAGTCCTCAACCACTTATTCCTTTCGTCTAGGGGACTCCAATCAGGCATTCTTCATCTCCTCCTTTCACGTCTTGGTCTGAACCCTCTTCCAACCTAACGCAACTTCGCCTAGCATTACACGCTGAGGTAGGCGGTGGCTTGGCAAGCACAGTAAATGTTCAAGCCACCTCAGTCGACTAAGGTTCACAACCTCATCAATCAACTCACTTGTCTTTCCTCTTACCCCCCAACCCTATCTAAATGCAAAACAAAGTTCCAAACATTTGTGTTTGCGCACTACTCGTTACTGATGGAAATCAATATTTCATGGGTAATTATAATCTGGAAACAAACTTTTTGCAGACGTCCATTATATCCATTTGAAATCACTCATATAAGAACCTTAATATATTATTTTTGTGCTACTACACTGATAATAGCAATCCGATATAAAGTGGAACATCCAGTTATCTGATGCACTGATGAACTCGACAAAGAAACCGATGAAACAGAAATGATAATGTTGTAGTCTTCTTAAAATGCTACCGAACACAACAAAAAGAAATCGAAAATGCTAACTCTCCTTTTTTCTATTGAGATAAAATTTTTATGACAGACATCACAAAAGAATAATGTAAAACCTAGACAGTATTCAGCGATAAAAACGACAGTGTAACCTCTCGATTCTTAGATAGAAATCTACGAAATTAACATGTCATGCTCTGTGTATCATCCGAATTTCAATTCAAGGGTAGCTTCTTCTTACCTATGATAACCTCTACCTACTGATTAGGATTTCGATTAAGACTTTTGTCAGAAAATCTTTAAGAAAATCGTTTCTAGTAGAATATCAACCGAAAGAAACCTCTGTCCGAGTTGCTGGATGTACAAGCTCTTCTGACACAGAATAAAAAATTACTTCTTGAATAGAGAAAGAACAATAATTGGAACAGAATAATATGGATTCATTTCATTTTGTCACTTACTCATCAGTCGCTTACAACCTGAAATATATGAATATTATATAAGAGGAGTACTTGAACACACTTTATACAGTCAACAGAAGTCAATTAGGAAAAAGTGAAATGGTGCAATAAGTAATGTAAGTACATGAAAAAACTTACAAGGCACACTACGAAATTTTTACCATATATCCTATTCAACGGGAAATTAGATCAAAGTAATATCAATATTATTATACATGATTAAAATTTCTTACTGTGCCTTGTTAATTTATTTCGGGTACTTACATTCCTCATTGCACCATTTCGCTTCTTCTTAACTAACTTCAGTTGACTGCATTACGTATGTTCAAATACCCCTCTTATATAATATTCGTATGTTTTAGGCTGTAAGCAGCTGATGAATCTATGTTATTTTGCTCCAATGACTGTCTTTCCTCTCTTCAAGCTAAGAAAAAGGGATAAGAGGGTGAAATCACTTTTTCTGCTGATGAAAACTTACTCTTGACAAAACAACGAAGGTTGTTTGACAGAACTTGAATGCCATAAATTTTTGGATTCTAATAAGGTGGCTTCAGTAATTGTTCACAGGATCCACTTTCAATGTCAGTTTTGATTAGGTATTCTATTCCTAAGGTAACACAGATACAATAATATGCTTATTATGTCCCCATTCACAGTAAGCATTTTTGTGCTTAGATGAAAAGCAATACTAATGTGGACGACAACTTTGAAACCCTTTGTCTTGATAAAAGCTATTATGCTGTTATACTTGATAGGCATCTAAACACTCTCCAATCATCAGACATGAAAATCTGGCTTTTATTGTCCCTCTTACTAACTTCATCCCTAAATTTCGCACTACATTTAATTATGGCACATTCTCATGTGAATAATTAGCTGTAAAATACTTACACATTAGAAATGGCATTGTGAAGACCACCTAGTACCACAATCACTATTGGTGACAAACAATTTCGGGTTGGCATTCACCATGGTCTGACATGAGTCAGAGAACCGTGGGAAACCTGGGAGCACTGGACAGCCACTTCGTCCTATTATGGGGCTCCTCAATAGTATGTACCCATAATTTCTTGAGGGATAAAACCCAGGACCTTTAGATTCCGTGACCAACAGGTTACCACTGAGCCACTGGGTCGAAATCCAGCATCCGTTCAGTCCACCACACTGCTGAGGAGTCCTATGCTAGGACGAAACGGCTTTCCAGTGCTCCTTGGTTTCCAATGTCCCGCCAACTGATGTCAGTCCAGTCCGAATAAACTCTCCTAACTTTGGATAGGTAATTACTTAATTTGGTGTTATCCTACAGTTTTAAATTTTTGAAGCTTTCTAAATAGACATGAGTTAAGCTTATTCATAAGCTTACTTATGTTTTGTTTATCGTCACTAAAACGGAACACATTCTCAAATAACAAGTAAATAGTGAACTATGTTTATGCACGGAATGTTATACAGAAAAGAAAAACGACTTGATGGTCGCTTATTCAGATCCCATAGAAAGAAATATGAAACAATTAACGAATAGGGAAAAAGTCAAATTTTTTCGAACAAACCTAGATAAAAGACTTCAAACAATATGCACAAAGGCTGATAAATATGAACTGGACAGGTATAAAAATGGAAAATACAAAAAAGGCATGACGGGGACATAACAAAAATGGGAAAACAGATACCTGTATAAAGAATACACGATAACACACTGAAAATTAACCATTTACATGTAATCATGTTAAATATTCATTTTTCAAAGAAACAACATTCTTGGTTATAGTGCAGACAACCAGAAATATGTAAATAAATCTTATAATCATGTAGCTGAAATAAATCGAACATTAAACACACACGATGATAGAGAGAGAGAGAGACTAAGGAACCACTAGCTAACCACAAGACGAAACAAATAACCTGATTAAAATGAAAAGAGTAAATCAACTTGATAAGCCTGCACATATCTATATATTCAGCCGGGAACTGTATGTAAGGGTTATCTTACAGAACAGAATGACTAATAAGTCCTAAATGAGTTTCAGTTCATGATCTATGGTCTGATGTTTGAATCGCTAAAAACAACTGAGCTAAATTTCTTTTATTAACATGCCTATCGACTTGTTAATGAACAACCTCTGTCATGAATAAACTCTTCTTTCTTACAATTTTAGAAAATTCATAATGTTATATTTATACTACTGTATTGAGCCATATTTTCTAAATATTGAACTATTGCACTTGCATCTATATAAGGTAAACTACCATTCCCAGTTTATTTATTTTATGTCAGATTTTCAGATCAAACGTAAATCTACACAGTGAGCGGAAATTGATGCCCGAAGATTCTGGGTCAATTTCACACATATTGATACAAATTATCACACTTATCAAGTCTACTAAATTATCCCAGATCTTAATTACACTCTGACCTTATCTTCATACATAATGGTCATTCACATCTGTAAAAGTTACCAGATGAAATCGATGTGACGGTCAAAATTTATGATATTATAACGAAACATCAGTTATAGCATCTACGTTGCCATCATATTTCAGACAAAATGAATCTAATGGACCGTTCATGACAAAATACGTCACAGATTCCAGGTATAAGTTACAGTATTTTAATTTTTCATTTACCCCAATGTAGCTTGTAGATACTTTCTTCGGGCAGTTTAATCAGTTCTTGAACCAATCAGCGTTAACCACATAGCTACTCACTATCACTTCCACTAAACTCACAACTACATATTGTTACACGCCAATTATTGTCTTGATATTCTAATAACTTAATGAAATAAGGTATTGGAAAAGCACTCGTTATCCGCAAGTAGATGATTTTTTCTTAATGGACATAACCTTAGGTACGTTTGACTTCACAAGAATTATTCTACTCCCTAGAGAGCTTATGGTTGACCTGAAGTACACAGATGACACTGTCCTGCCAGGTGAAAACGCTGACGCATTACAGGGTCTTTTAAATGTGTTGAGCAGAAATCTGAGTATGTTTAACATGAATCTCGCACACACCCCCCCCCAAGTATAAGATGATGCTCCAGGACTGGTCTTCTGCAAATACTTCCAGTTTAATGATAGGGCGCTAAGTGGTGGAATGTCTCAAACACTTCACTTACTTAGAGTGGCATCATTTCGGACAAAGTGATTCCTTATGAAATCTCAGGTTGGATACAAAAGGTGGGTTTGGCATTGCCAACTTGCACCATCTCTGGCGCTAACTGACGAGATATCCGACTACTTATTCAAGGACAAGTATAATGCGCAGCATTTCGTTCTATCCCATCATACTGCTGTGAGACATGACCATTAACAGATGAAGGTATGAAGCAATTATGGGCTTTCGATCACAGGTATCTTCTCAACATTATTCATATATGATGGCACCACCATGTGAGCGATAGCGAGAATGCTAGGCAATAAGGCCAAGTCAGTTGATGAGATTGTGAACCTCTATCGACTGAGTTGTTTCGGACATGTGTTGCGCATGCCCAACCACTACCTAACTCGAGGTCGAATGGTAAGTGAAGTCAGATTAGGTTGGAAGAGGATTAAGGATAGCCAGATCGAGACATGGCATCAATCCATGAAGACTCTGACTCTTGGTCTGAAGCGTAAAGAGAGGTACAGTCCGCCTGCTAGGGGGTCCTAAAGATGATAGAAATCAGTGGTTACAGACCTTCGGTTACAGCTTGAAATTGGTCAGAATGCCTCAGATGTATTCCCTCTTCAATATCTTCTAAAGCCTGAAAATGTTTCCTTACTTTTTTTCAAAATCCTTATTTTTCTATGCATCTTTGTCTACTTTGATATCAATCTTCTTCTATCAACTTGTTGTTTGCCTGTTACCAAAAAGTATGACAACTTAAAGCGACGCACTTGTGTGCAAGGTTTTACATTGACTTGGTTAGGTATAACTAAACAACCTAATGGCCTAAAAATGTCATTTCGCGACAAAAAGATGACCGCAGGATGGCATATTATTATGAAACTTTCTTCAGCTTCGACACATTTGAATATAAGAATAAATACAAGGCAGCAGTGATGACGTTTGTAAACACAGACAGACAAAAGAACTTTCAAAAGATGTACTTACAAAAAACCGCCAGAAATGAAATATTCATTTTTGTAATAATAGATGGTTAAAATGATATGTTAAAAGAATGTGGTTAAGTTTCAAGATGACGTTCATCGGTGAGTATTTCATGTGAAAAACCAGTACAAACCAGTACCTTCTGACGATCATTGGTCGTGAATCGTTTATAAAAAAATAAACTTTATTAAATGTCCATAGAATTCGAATACTAAAATCCGTCTTTATTTAGATTCACACACTGCCATGAAATTTACTGTCTGAATAGGTCAAATACCATCTTTGGTTTAGGCAATAAATATCTATTAGATGCAGGCAAGTGAATACCTTTTTTCCATGACCTGCATGAAAGAAAGCTATAGTCAATATGTGCTCATCAAGACCTGAAAACTGCCTAACTCTTCAAAGTTTATCGTTTGTAGACCCTAGTTAGGCGTCGAATAATTATGGAGTGATTCAAGGATGTTATTTCGTTCAAGGAGATCCTCTTGTATCTACTGCCAAAGTGTTTCTACTCTTTCCTACAAACTGAGATAACAAGAAATCATAACCAACCTGATTAAATGATCCCTATACTCCAACCAGTACTAGTGAAGTGAATGCTACTGTTCTGAATGCATATGAGTAGCATATGCGGAGAGGTCAGAAGTCACAGACAATTACGAGCGATAGATAAATATTGTGTCCAAAGAAGCGCAAAAGATCATTTGGCCGTATTAATAGCAAGATGAGATAGAAGATGAACTTAAATATATTGTGCGAATTTATATTTCAATGGAAGGTTATAATATTTTATCAGTTATGTACGAATTGTCATAATAAACACTTTTTTCTGCGATTAATCCTTCACCCTTTTCCTTGATTAATAATTTCTAACTGGTAACCTTGAAGTCTTTTGCAGATATGGCACTTTCTGCCACTCTACGGCTTCCCAGGATTTTGCAGACTTCTCAACCTCGATAATAGTTGATCGCCTGATTTTTAGATTCTATTCATTTTGTAGACCTTGACCAGGAAGCCTACATTTCCCTTAACAGTTAAGATTCACCATCAGAGAGTTTATGAAATAATGTCACATTTTTGTGCGATTATCTCCAGTTTTCTTCAAAAATAATCTTAATACAACCAAAAAATTAAATAAAGTCATGTAAGCTTTTAGAATGATAGTTAGTTCGTGTCCTGATAAGTGTGTTCCCACTAATACACAAAGACCCAGACTCATGGACTGTGATGTATTTGGAAGTATAAGTTGGTCTTTAGTGATGACGTGAATAATATCTTCTTGGGAATATAAAGGGAGCTAATCAACTGTTGAATGATACTGGTAGGCTATCAAACAAAGTAAAATCCACGAAAGTTTATTGAAACAGATTATGATTCGCTGGTATTGGCAGTATCCATAGTACATGACTACTGGAAAAATACAGCAAATCTAAGAAGGCTACAAACGTATTGCCACACAAGTGCTATAAGAATCTCACACTTCAACCCAACTTAAAGTTTAATAAACTATAATATCTGCTCCTAGAAGATGAATTAGATCTAACCATAACTATTCATACTGGGACTTTCCAAACAACGAAAGCGAGTAACAACTCTAAACTAGTGATAAAAGCCCTAGTTTATGTCTAGTCACCATGTATCTCGTGGCGAGATTTTAGTTGAAGCAGGTATAAGCTGGAAAGTGGTTAGCGGCAGCCAAACTAATATATGTCATCAGTCCATGAAATATCTGACTTTTAGTCTCAGCCATGTAGAAAAATGTGGACTTCCCAGTTGGGGTCAGAAAGATAACAGAAACCGGTGGCTAGAGACTTTAAGTGATGAGGCTAAAAATCAGTTTCAGGGATGCAACTCCCTCCAAGCATTACCTTCATTTTAATCGTCATCCTGATTTTAGTATATTCATATTCCACCCTTCTTCTCTTTTACTGCTTCTAAATAATTCCCTTCTACCTCTTATTTTGTCACTTTATTGCTTAGTTCGCTGATATCAAGTGTGGAAAATTGAAGCACTGTGCAGTAATCCCTAATCGTATATTGATGCTGATGACGAGGTTATAACAGAGATAACACAATCAACTAGTATCCCAATCAGCAATATGTGTAATCTAGACAATTCCAAAAGCATAAGAAAAAAGTATGTTAACTTTAGACAAAACAATATTAGTAATGTAAACGAAAGATATAGTTTATCATTTACATTAAAACCGTCAAAGATAAACACTACCTATAATGCAAAATGCATCATATGGAACTTTTGATTGAGTCAAAGTTTGCTTTGACCAATTAAGTATAAACAATCCATGAATACGTACATAAAGCAAATTATATGCACTGAAAGTGCACATAGAAATAAGAAGAAATGGGGATACACTCAGATTGGTATACAAACCACAAAATAATAGTGATGTAACTCATCAGGAACAGAAGGTGTAGCGGTACTAATAACCTTTAATTATCACTGTGCTTTGTCAGGTAACAGATGTTATCACAATAACACTTATCACTGGTTAAAACATTATGAGACTGGCAGAATAATTTGGTAAAAAAGCGTCAAGTAAACAAGATTTCGTAGATTTTTCCAATTCGAATTCCTGATGACCAATGAAATTCTCTATTTCAAATGTTCAAACTCTAAGGGTAGTCATGCTAACTGGAACAAATAACTTCCTCTTTAGCCCATGCATAACAAATATACTGACTGATATACATTAACCAACCGAAAAAAAAGTATGCGATGGAGAATCAAAGCAAGCAATGAATAACTGACTGATAGGAAAAAAGAAGTAAATCAATAAGCTTTACTTACCTAATTCATCATTGGCACGAATTACATCCACGGTACTATCATTGTGTAACTGTACAACGTGTGTCATCATATTGTGACAAAATGACTGAGTATGTTGAGAGTAATACTCAACAGTTTTTACTGCATCATTTATATTCACTGGAAATGATAATGATGGTAAATGAGGTCTAATTTGCTGTTCACACACTAAATGATACATCGTTTTCAGATCTGGTTCATTATTCTGAAACAGACAAAAGTAGAAAAGAAGAAGGATTCATGAAAAAAAAAGAAATATTTTTTAGCAAATTCAATGAATGACCATTTGCTAATAAAAACACTTGATCTACCTAAAATCAAATATATTCAAATTTCATCATATAGAAACAAACACAAGAATATATACATATATATATATATATATATATATATATATATATATATATATATATATATATATATCATCTCACGTAGTGAATGCAAGTTTCATTAGCATGTGATTGAATTCACATGTTGAGCTAAGAATTCACTTTGAAATGAAAACAATATTCATAAAATCTTCAAACTGGTTAATTATATATCAGGTTCGTGAATCAACTGGAAGGTTATTTAGATGATACTCATGTTTAGTAATTTTTCAGACCAAATAAGAATGAAATCTATTTGAAAGTATGACACCTACAGCACCATTTCAGTTGAAGGTGTAAATTTATAACTTTGTGAATGCACTATTTCTAGTGGTATAATATTTCCTGTCTCATTACGGATGATGTTATACTACTATTCATAAACATGTAAATACTATGAATAAATAAGATTTATTATATACAAGGACTTTAATCAGAATACTCAGATAGCTAGAATAATTCAAAAATCGTGAACGTGGGCATAGATCCAGATTTTTAAAGTATTTTGACTTCTTTTGATGGACAAACACTCTGATATGTAAGTATGAAATGAAGAATTAAGAAGAAATATGAAATAACTTCATTAACCTAGCCTGACTAACAATTTCACTAGCTACTAGCCAGTTCTAAGCATGGATAAAGAGGTAAGGTTGGGCACAGGGGTAGCAACCCTACCCTGCAAGACCAATCCAACCGCCAAAGGAACTTCAAACTATAAAATTAAACTTCTTCCTCACTAAAATCGGGTAGATGAAATGACGCCGGGTGGTGAAAGCCTTCGACAAGCCCATTGGCCGATGTTTCTCCTCTTCTCTCCATCAAAGCGAAAGTAAACATGGGGACATGAAATGTCCACATCATGTATCAACCTAGCAAGCCTGACCACATTGCAAACGAGGTAAGAAGGTATAGCATAGAAGTGCTTGTAATCTACGAAAGCAGATGCAATGGAAGTAGACTCTCCAAACTGTCAACTGGAGACAAGTCAATAATCCACTGCGATATTGTCACCCAGACGACAACCACGAGCACACTGAATTTTAGAGTGGCTATCATGATCTCTCCAATAGCATTAAAGGCTCTCTCTCTCTCTCTCTCATGCAGTGGGAACCAATCTCCTCCACAATCAGCTTCATGACACCAAGATCCAACCTCAAAAGGAGGGAAAGTCACAATCATACAATACCACGCCATGCACCTACAAATAATCCAGATCAAGAGAAGAAGGAGGAATTCTACAGACAACTGCAATCAGTACTAGACAAAACTCCAGTTGGTGACATCAAAATTCTAATGCGTGGAGTGACATGAATGCCAAACTCGGCGAGGACAACACACAAAGAGAATCAACTATGGATCAACAAGCGCTCGGTGAAATGATGAGTCGGAATGGAGGAATGTTTGCAGATCTCCGCGCATTCAACGATTTGATGACTGGACGCAGTGTGTACAAACACAAGGATATTCACAAGGCAGCGACATGGATTTGATTTCACCAGACACACTACACTAAAAATCACATCAACTTCACCTCAATGTGAAGAAAGTGGAGACCCAACCAGCCTCCTGGATACATGATCAGAACAAGAAGGAGAGCACATGTAGGTTCACACCACTCACTATCTACTGCAAGGAACCTGCCTTCAAAATCAAGTTGAAAGCCTTCAACCATACTGGTGGTAGACCACAGTTCAAGTTCAACACCAACAACAACAACTGAAGGGCGAAACTACAAAGGACGTCTTCACGTCAGTCAGTCATCAGAACAAAATAGGAGACATTGAGCGACATCCGTGAGGAAACCTGTGTAGAAAAACACTGGAACTCTTTGAAAACTATGTGGAGAGAAACCTGCATAACTGTATTAGGAAGGAAGAAGAAAGAAGACAATGAATAGATCTCGACGGACACATGGAAGCTGATAGGAGAGGGAGAGGAAGATGGTGAAGCAGAAGATGAAGCACTGCAGTGCACGGATGAACAACGAAAAGAGGAACTGAACTCAACCTATAAAACACTACACTGGACAAAGAAGTGAAGAAGAGTGAGCACAAAGACTAAAGACACTTCTACAACACATTGGAAAGTGAATCAAAACGGGCTGCAGGTTGGAGAGACCTGAAAACACTATATCAAATAACCAGGTTACTATCTGACAGGGAAGAGATCAACTCAGACGAAACCAGTGGAAGATATTGAAGAAAACCTAGTTACCAAACAGGAGATATAAAGGAAATGGTGAACTTATCACTTCAAAACCTCTGGCATTCCTCCAGAAATACCACCAGAAACCTCAGAACTACCAATGAACACAAGCCCTACGACAGGAGCAGAAGTGGAATCTTGAAAGCTATAAAGTTCTTGAAAGCTAGGAAAGCAGCAGGACTAGATGGAATTCCTCCATAAGCACTGAAAACAGGCTCCGGGAAAAAAGCAGCGGACACGCTCACAGCATAATTGCAGAAGGTTTGGAAGGATGGCAGTGCATCTTCCGATTAAAAGAAGGTCTACATCTTCAAACTTCCATAGAAGAGAAAGCTGAGACTTTGCAAGACCTGGCACGGCATCATGCTCCACACCTGTCCACACCAAGCAAAATATTAAGCCGCATCATACTCAAGAGACTAAACAGTGCTCTGGGTTCAAAACTACAACCCGAAAAGGCTGGCTGACTGGCTGGCTGGCTACAGGAAGTACAAATCATGTGCGGATCAAATTCCAACGCTACGCCACGTCACGCCACGCATCATCATACAACAGAGAGTAGAATGACAGTAAACTCACCTCTACCTCAACCTCATCCACTCTGAAAATGCCTTTGACAGAGTCGACTGAGAAGTATCTTGAAAACTATTTCAAAACTACAGAATACCTCACTCAACAACTGTGTGCTACATGAACACGCCACATGCCAAGTGGTTCACAATCGGAAGCTCAGTGGCACCTTCGAAGTGAAGACAGAAACGAGTGAGCCAAAGCTTACGCCTACTATCACCGATCATCTTCCTGACTGTGGTCAACTGGATCATGCAGCAAACAGCGAGCAGCGAGAAGAAAGGCAAACACTAACATGACCAATGAAGAGATGTTCGAAGATTTGAATTTCGCCGATGACTTATGCATAATGTCACACAAACTCGAAGATCTACTGGCAAAAACTAACAAGTTGATAGAAGAGGCAGCGAAAACGGGACTCCAAGTTAATGTAGAGAAGACAGAGGTGATGAAGATACCCAACCAACAACAGCATCAACAACAACAAACACCAATCACCATGAATGGGAGAAACCTAAAGGGAGTAGTCTCTTTCACCTACCTAGGCAAGGAGCATCGTTTCAACTACAGGTGGCACAGGCACACATGACGATTTCAAAGCCAGCATCGGGAAAGCGAGACAGGTCTTCATCAACCTGAAACCAGTGTGGAGACCTACTGCACTGCACTCAGCACAAAGCGTGGATAAGATCCGGATTTCCAACACCAATGTCAAGTCAGTGCTTCTATCTGGTAGTTCAGAAACTTGGCGTGTCACGAAACGCACTTCCAACAAACTACAGACATTCATCACATCAACAGCTGCAGCCTACGCCCGCTCGCTCGCTCACTCACTCACTCACTCACTCACTCGATAGTGAAGATCAGATGGATGGCGAGAATAATAAGAATAAGCAACAAGGAACTCACTCTGACTGGCTGTCAACGAACCAACTAAGCAAGAACCCACCGCCCAACAAATATGCAGAGACAAGTGGAGATGGATGGGATTGGGCATAGACTGAGAAGGCCGATGGGGGACATCACACACCAGGTCAGGCCGTCGAGTGGGATCCAAAGGTGAAACGATGAGTTGAGTGTTCGAGGTGAGGGTGATATGGAGGAGATGATGTGAGGAATGAATGAAAGGTTGTGAGTGGTCGTGGTGATAGGTTGTAAATACTGCAGAGAATAGAGTGTAATGGAGACGTGTTACTGAAGCCGTGTGTTCCACTAGGAACCTTATGGATAAATAATATTCATATCTTTATTGAGTAGTCTATATCTGGTGCTAATATTACTGGCTATTAGTCGTGTGTACACAACAACACGTACAAATGTATGTAAATCATTCAAAGTTGTGCACTTGCTGAGTCGTCAGCTTGCATTTCACTCTTTATCTTCTCCATTCAAGATAATCGTGGTCACCACTAACCTCACACTACTCTATGAGCCTTATTTCAATAACGTAGCTACCAATAGGCTAGATGAAGACTCATTAACAAGTGGTCGTTAAAAATCGACTATAAATGACCAACAAAATCCAGTTAGAAGTTAAAATCAAGCTTAAAACCTAAATCTTTGGCATTCCTCTGATTACCTCAAACCACCTAGTGTTAAGCAAAGTGGAAATCAACTATGAGTATCTCAGCTTCAAAAAATGGTTCAAACTTGACTGGTTAGCTGATTTAATCTACTATCACAGGAAGCCAATGGTGATCAGAATAGCTAAATGGAAAATTTTTCTACCGCAGCACAAAGTGGCTTCAATTTGAACTTCTGAAGGAGCATCATCTCCCGAGGTTTGAAAGTACGAACTGTTGATTAAATCATAATTCAAAGCTTTCCACTGATTGCCTTCAACCAACTAATAACCAAAAACTTTGTTGCTTTAAAAGTAAGGTAAGTAAGTAAAAGGTAATATCATTGAGGACACAAACGAATAATCTACAGTTAAGGCGAGAGTTACGGAAGAAAGTTGACAGAATGTTAGCACTCTCAATAAAAAGCATGTAAACAAGCCTCATTTCACGAATTAAAACTATTAAGCTTACTTTCAGTTGTTCATCCACAAGAATCTTATTCGCTAAATATCGTGATGTATTTGTTTTATACATATATCCAGACCTATTTAAAATGTCATCAGAACAATAACAAGAATGTATCATTGGACAATTTAGTAAATCCGAAGATGATTTTACAATCTCATACCCATCATTGAAATTCATGGTACATTTTAACAATTTCAACCATTCATTTTGATAAACTGGTGAATAAACTGACGAATATCCATTAGTATTTAATTTAGACACAAGTGATGAATTTGAATTGGTTAAGCTCATTGAATCAACGGATGATTGTCTTCTAGATGATGCACAATCAGGTATGTGAGATACATTGGAGAAATGTTGATCTGACCAGATAGATTTAGGCAAAGCCCAACTGACAACTTCCCATAAAATCAATGATAATGCATATATGTCAGATTTCTGATAGGATTCAAAGCAAAATGGATTGATTGATTTGGCTAGTAGCTGAAATTAGGTTATTGAAAGGCAAGCAAATTAAATCTGTGTAAATATGAATGAAATGAATAAATGAATAGTAATGGAACAAAGCATAGGAAGTGTTTTTCACTTAAAAATTAAACACAAAATAAACGTAAGCATTTTGAAATTTACAGTTACGGACAGACTGATCAACCGAGAACTCAGAACAAAATTCAACCAGTAAAAGTCTCCATACACAAGTGAACAAATAAAATAAACAAGAGTATTACAATAATTATTTTTCCCTTGGGTTCCTAGTGGAACATACGGCTTCAGTAACACGTCTCCATTACACTCTATTCTCTGCAGTATTTACAACCTATCACCACGACCACTCACAACCTTTCATTCATTCCTCACATCATCTCCTCCATATCACCCTCACCTCGAACACTCAACTCATCGTTTCACCTTTGGATCCCACTCGACGGCCTGACCTGGTGTGTGATGTCCCCCATCGGCCTTCTCAGTCTATGCCCAATCCATCCATCTCCACTTGTCTCTGCATATTTGTTGGGCGGTGGGTTCTTGCTTAGTTGGTTCGTTGACAGCCAGTCAGAGTGAGTTCCTTGTTGCTTATTCTTATTATTCTCGCCATCCATCTGATCTTCACTATCGAGTGAGTGAGTGAGTGAGTGAGCGAGCGAGCGGGCGTAGGCTGCAGCTGTTGATGTGATGAATGTCTGTAGTTTGTTGGAAGTGCGTTTCGTGACACGCCAAGTTTCTGAACTACCAGATAGAAGCACTGACTTGACATTGGTGTTGGAAATCCGGATCTTATCCACGCTTTGTGCTGAGTGCAGTGCAGTAGGTCTCCACACTGGTTTCAGGTTGATGAAGACCTGTCTCGCTTTCCCGATGCTGGCTTTGAAATCGTCATGTGTGCCTGTGCCACCTGTAGTTGAAACGATGCTCCTTGCCTAGGTAGGTGAAAGAGACTACTCCCTTTAGGTTTCTCCCATTCATGGTGATTGGTGTTTGTTGTTGTTGATGCTGTTGTTGGTTGGGTATCTTCATCACCTCTGTCTTCTCTACATTAACTTGGAGTCCCGTTTTCGCTGCCTCTTCTATCAACTTGTTAGTTTTTGCCAGTAGATCTTCGAGTTTATGCGACATCAAACATAAACCAAGATAAGACTATGTGATCTTGAAATTCGACGCAATTTATCCTCATGATTTTTCCAGAGTCTACATATACGAAAACACAATAACCATTCCAGTTATACCTTCTTAAGATTGAAATGAAGAGAAACTAGCAGTGGTAAAAGTGAAAACTATGCACAGATTACTTGCAGTTCATCAGTGGCTCTTTGTGCACCTTCCAAACCCATTAGCTTTTGTGTTGAATAAAGATTTTTGTAGTTAAATTACAACTTCCCAGCTTAATGCTGCAGATTTTTGTTGGGAACAGCTGCATTCTGCATCACTTCCAAGTCTATGCTTGACTTTGTAATATGTATATCATAATGCAAAAAGATATTACGCTCTGAAAAGCTTTCAAACTAATCTGTAACATATGTGTTTTCAGTTAAAAAGAATATACCCCAGAAGATATAATATCATTTTCCAAAAACTGAGTGTGAACATGTCACAAACTTGAATTTTTCTCTCACTATTATGAAAATTTTCAAACATCTACTAAAATCCGACTTTTTTTCTTGAGGTTCATACCTTCAGTGGTCCGTTACCAAAGTCAAGTCGGTAAAAATCATGAACACGCAGACATTCCTACCTATTTTCTTTATAAGATGTTGACAAAATATATAGTCTTTTTAACTCCTTAATCACAAATCTGAGTATTTTTGGTGTACGTTTTACACATGGTAAATTTTAGATAATGCTTCAGGAATGGTTTGCAGATGGACAGAAATTGAAAAAATCAACATAGAACCTCGTATATAAGTGCATTGGTTCAAGTTGCCTCACTTTACAAAGAAAACGTCAATAGAAAAGACGGATATTAAAGTAGACAAAGGAGTATGGGAAGAGAGAGAATTTTAAAATTAAGGTTTTCACTGACTTCTAGTTCAATGATAGATAGTAAAGTGGTGAAAGCTTTACTAACTTGGAAACTTTCGTGAGCCCAAGTGGGTTGTTTACTGATGAAATCTCAGTTAAGATTAAAAAGGTGTGTTATGCATGCTCCATTACTGGTGCCAGGGAGACAACTGACTAACTATTAAACGACGAGCATATTGCCTGGAAGTCCGTTCCCTTTGTTGTACACCTTGTGAGACATGGCTGATTGGCAATCTGAACTGAGGTCACCTACGTTGTACCCCAAAAACCGGTAGTTAATATAGTATTAAAAAGAAATACTTTGATGCACCAACATACTGATGCAAAACTACATCCATCGAATTTCCCTCAAACGATTTGGATCACTGACTTGCTCGATATGAATGCTATGCTCCAAAAATTTTGAGCATGGTTAGTGAATAAAACAATATATAATATGAAACAAGAAATCAATGAGTGGAAAATGATACAATCGAAAAAGCTTACCTCTGGTGCTAGATAACGAGGTGTTCCAATTTGAATACCTCCTATTGGCCACCAGTTCAAAAGTTCTAATCTGTCAAAACGAGATTTATCTACAGGATCCTCTAGAATATAGTCCCATTTATTGCAGGTTCCTGTATTCTGGTTGCAAGAATCATATGATCTATCCATGTGATTAGATACCATCAGAGGTTCTTTCTGTGTCGTATGAACTGAATTATGTTCGAATGGGAAATCACTCCCTAACCGTTCCGAAGTAGGGATTTCGGAGCACTGATTGCTAAAATGTGAGTATTTTGTAGAATAATCTGCATAATGTTTATAAAGCGTGTACAATCGATCCATGGAAACTGGAAATGGACACGGTGGCGATCGAACAGCTAATCCAATATCACCAATACAACATGACCAATCCGACCGGATATATATGTTAGACGGTTTCAAATCTCGATGAGCAAGAGCTGGTTTTCCTCGTGTACCAGCAAATTCTTTTTGAAAAAGGAAGAAAGAAAAACGAAAAATATGCAAATTAGAAAGCGAAGTTTACAGCTGATTAGTTACATTTACAGCTCAATGAGAATGACAGAAACGGTAGATGTAACAGTTATAACATTCTTCGTGGTACAGTTTCTTCGTAAAACCCAGTCTACAATCACACATAAAATTCTTGAAGGAAAAATACAGCTGGTTCACTGAGTGTATTCAGCAAAAAGTCAATACTTAACCGAACCTCAATACTATTATAACATCAATAATAAATGAGCGACCATCACTTGTAGTTCATGACCTTATCCAACCTTCTATCTCACTGAACACATATCAGAAGTGAAATTTATTAGCAGTTAGTTGATCATCCACTGACTTTATTTATTATACTATTTCCCTTGAAATAAATTTACGTTAGTGATGAAACCTTGCAGCACTATCCTCAGCAGTGATACTGGTGTCTGGGTTGAGACCTCAATCTGGATACACTTCAAACCTCTACATACCCCACTTTTACCATCCAAAAGCTGAAAGTTGATGCCTGTTTATAATGTCACGTTTACAACTGCATTAATTACAGATTATAGATAAAATCCTGAAGACATAACATCAAAGGAGTAAGCAATCAAGACGCAAAAACTTGCTATAAAGAGATTCACCAAGCAATTTCTTGACTTCATTCAGAATAAATAAAGCAAAGTTTGTTGGAAAACGCCAATGAACAACGTCAGTGAACAATGAAGTATACAATAAAAACCAATACTGTAACAGTAAAACTAGAACATCTTAGTAGAGTGTAAGTCAGTGTTAGATTTGTTGATTTGGTATAGTAAACAATGATTAAATATAATATCATAGTAACGTTTTGAGCACAAATTTTCCCGATATCTATCTGTGATCATTTAATACTCTAAGAATAAAAAAATATGAAAACTTTCAACAGCTCTTCCAACAAGACCGGCATTCTATTTTGAATACAAACTTCCAAGAATAACTTAGTATGAATCGTCAAACAGAAGGTAACAGACAGACCGATGACCAAATCGAAAAACTTGAATTTATAGAGTGAATACTGTCCTAATGAAATTAGAGAGAGAGAGAGAGAGAGAGAGAGAGAGAGAGGGAAACAGTCAATCACAGTCATAATTTTGCACACCTATGTACATATATACATTAAGAAAAGAGACTGTAAGATCGATAATGCTTGCACAATACACTAATTTAAGACTGTTAAAAAACAAAATTTTTGAAATATCCATACTGCCTAAGGAATATTTAATCTAGATGCATGGTATTTCATCTAGTTTTATCAAAGTGTAGATGAATTTAAAATGAAAAAAACTGATTCTGGTACATTATATTGATCGACATGTACTTCGTTTATAAGAACATTACATCACAGTCCACCAGAGGAATGTTTAAACTTAGACCGATACACACATACAGATACATATAGGAAAAGACCGAATCAATCCTTAAATGGAAGGGAAAATGAATACAAACTTGAAGAACGTACGAAAAGCAACCTGAGCCAGGTGGTACGAATTTTTGTCCCATCCTGTAAGGGTTTCCGTGAATAATGTAAGGTGAAAAGACTTTTATGTATACTTAAAGCAAGAACTTGATGCATATATATATATATATATATATATATATATATATATATATATATTCAGGTTTTGTTTCCCAAGACTATTCAGTAATACATGTTCAGTTATTGATTAAAAACACAAGCTTGGGACATTCGTATCGTTTGGAAATAAATTGTCTTTTAATGTATTAATCCATAATCAGGCGTAGTAACTATCTCATTTGGTGTGTGTAAAAAGGCTTTTTGCCTTGTAGAGTGTATTGAGTAATGTTTGACGTTTAGCTCACAGTGGTACCACTTGGGGACTTTTCCTGAACATTTAGTATGGGGCTTGGTTCTAGGAAGGTTTGATAGCACTGAACACGTTTCATCATATTGCAGACTCACGTCAAGTATTTCATGATTTCCATTACCATGATCTGATCGAACGTGTGGATCGTTTATTATCTCCTGATGAGTGATGAAGGCGTGACTATCATCCTCATCCATCACTGTAACATGATTTATACTATCAGGCTTCTTCGTTATATCCATCACTGAAGAATTTACAGATAATCATTTTCAAAATCTGCGGACTTATGATTGTAGATAGTGGCGGGATGCCATCCCACAGTAGGTTGAACTTCTCAATAATTCTCAACGCTACTGCTTCCATTCTTTCTTCACAGCGCTGAAAAATGCTTGAAATTCTTCAAATGTTGTCGCTTGTTATACCCTTGTTGCGACCACTTGGTTTAACCTTGGTAATAACCTTCAGATTGCATTCCTCGATGGTCACTCAGTTTTTCGGTTGTTGGAAAAGGCGTTAATATAACAGAAGGCGAATTTTAACGTCAAAATATAGACAAAATACGAGAGCTTATACATATTTACAATGGCCTTGTCTATTTCCAGGTCTTTCTACATAAGAATATACTATTGATTTTTGTGTCTTCAATCAATCTGATATTAACACGTTAGTTCGCATGCTTTTTCTCGAAACTTCGGAACTAAACAATCGACTGTAACAGGTTTCAGGGATATAAAACTTCTGAAGAAGGTCAAATCTAATTCCATGTTATAACAGTATAGCATAGGCACCAAGAAGCATGTCACCTAAAATGATAGGATATTTAACATTAAAAAGGCAAAAGCAGAGGTAAAGAATAAAAGGATATCCATTGAAGTCGGAAGTAGACGACAAAAAAATCTGTGTTATGATTATCGCTGGTTAAGATTTTTCTTTGTATCGAACAAAATTTTAAGCCTTTGAGTTGCATGATGGCTTAGACCTCATCCAAGAGTTGTTAGCGTGTTACGGCACTGTTGTGAACTTTCAGTGCATCAATATCTTTACTCAATAAAGCTAAATCATAAAAGACCTGAAAGTCAAATTTTCGTTAAAGGGGATGACATAACCAAGTGTAAAACAAAGTTTAAGTGAATAACTCATTAAAATTTACAATTACACCTTAATATCCTAAGTGTCATCAACTTAGCCTTCAGATTTAATAAGTCCTTAACACATCTTCGACAAAATATTGCGCTATATGCACCATTATGAAAAAGTATGGGTAGACAAAAGTTATGATTATTGTTCTTTTTTCCCTTGGGTTCCTAGTGGAACATACGGCTTCAGTAACACGTCTCCATTACACTCTATTCTCTGCAGTATTTACAACCTATCGCCACGACCACTCACAACCTTTCATTCATTCCTCACATCATCTCCTCCATATCACCCTCACCTCGAACACTCAACTCATCGTTTCACCTTTGGATCCCACTCGACGGCCTGACCTGGTGTGTGATGTCCCCCATCGGCCTTCTCAGTCTATGCCCAATCCCATCCATCTCCACTTGTCTCTGCATATTTGTTGGGCGGTGGGTTCTTGCTTAGTTGGTTCGTTGACAGCCAGTCAGAGTGAGTTCCTTGTTGCTTATTCTTATTATTCTCGCCATCCATCTGATCTTCACTATCGAGTGAGTGAGTGAGTGAGTGAGTGAGCGAGCGAGCGGGCGTAGGCTGCAGCTGTTGATGTGATGAATGTCTGTAGTTTGTTGGAAGTGCGTTTCGTGACACGCCAAGTTTCTGAACTACCAGATAGAAGCACTGACTTGACATTGGTGTTGGAAATCCGGATCTTATCCACGCTTTGTGCTGAGTGCAGTGCAGTAGGTCTCCACACTGGTTTCAGGTTGATGAAGACCTGTCTCGCTTTCCCGATGCTGGCTTTGAAATCGTCATGTGTGCCTGTGCCACCTGTAGTTGAAACGATGCTCCTTGCCTAGGTAGGTGAAAGAGACTACTCCCTTTAGGTTTCTCCCATTCATGGTGATTGGTGTTTGTTGTTGTTGATGCTGTTGTTGGTTGGGTATCTTCATCACCTCTGTCTTCTCTACATTAACTTGGAGTCCCTTTTTCGCTGCCTCTTCTGTCAACTTGCTGGGTTTTGCCAGTAGATCTTCGAGTTTGTGCGACATTGTGCATAATTCATCCACGAAATTCAAATCTTGCTATATTCAATTCACTTATGATTCATGCATTACAATAACAAGAATGGTATCGCTAAATTTTTGAACAATAAAAGCAACATTTCAGTCATCAACTACTCTTCTCAAGGCATTGAAAGCTGGCATAAATCCTCCCTAGATATAATGGGGAAGTGTATTTCATGCGATTTATTCATCATAATACTGATATGATGAAAACTAGTGCACTGTCAACAAAAACCGACATTAAGTGAACACTTTTAATAATAATTTTCCACATATATTATGAAGTGGCTAACAGAAGAAATCAATACTCATCGCTTATGTGAACATGTTGAATAGAGTCCAGGAAAAGTATACCTTCTTAACGGTGATCACACTCATCACTTGCCTATTGTTTAAATTATAACTATTATTATGTATCACTCTATAATATTCAATGTGGGTAACTTCTGCAATCATACATCTGTCAATACTATTTTAGAATATACAACGATGTGTGCAAATATGTGTACGCAATTAGGCAGCTGTGAAGACAAAAACATAATTCAATGATCAATAATCAATGAAATAAGCAGCTATATAGGAATTTTCACTAGTTATTATTTGTTTCACTGATGTTGTTTGCTCGTGTTTGTTTTTTTTGAATTAACACACAAAATATAACTGAAACTACACAACAGCTGTATAAGATACTTGAAATATGTCATTTTTGCATGTCTGTACAAACTGGGCGTAGAAGAAGAACTACCAAATACGGTAGTGCATTCAGTGAAATTGGGTATTATATTTATATCTGTATAATTTGACCAGAAATTAATACGAAAATATCTCTGCATGTGACTAAAACGAATGTATGAAAACCTTGGGACTGAATCAAATGTTGATTATATAGCAAAGTGGAATAAAAATTTCAACTGAAAAAAACTATTTCCCAGGTGGTCTAAATTCCAGATAATAAACGAATTGGTATCAGTTGTGCGTGTGTGTGTGCATGCGCGCATCTCTTTTACTAACCTTATTAACTAATACCTCAGCACAAAAGTCGATACAGTTAAAAATGAATATTACTAAACATAATTGGTAATCTTGATTTGGGTTGATCACAAAACGTCTGAAAATGATTTACTAACACCATCCTATTCTGTGGAATAAGCTTTTCACCTACTGACAGTACTTGCAGCATAATCATCAACACTTTACAAAGCTATTTCACTCTAAAAACTCTAATTTGATATAACAGTTAACAAGCTAAATAGGCACTAAAATAACTCACTAGAACTAGTGTAATTTAGGTCTTCATGTACCAGCCTATAAGCCACACTTCTTGTGTTAAGATTTATAGTGTTCTCCACTTGCTCATATTGACGAAATCAACATACAACTTTCTACACAAACGAATTAGTTCAAGTCACCTCATTTAACAGAAGCCTTTAAAGGAGTGGCTAGAAATAGGATGATATTAAAGTTAATATAATCATAATACAACCCAACCTATTACAGATCTAAATTTGTTCAGCTACAGGATGTGATACTATCTGGTCATCTATGTCAAAGTAGGTGAAGCGAGGTTCAATGCAGAAACCCATAGCTGAAAAGTCGAAAGCATAAACAAAGCAACTACATCTGCACGATTATACTAAAGCAAACAAAAATTTGCAGCAGGAGGAGGGCATAAATAAATAAGAGTCGGTGATAATGTTCGAAACTAAGGATATCACAAAGAGTGTACACATATGTACCATTGTAACCAGTTTTGAGCCGTATTATCAAAAGTCTCCAAACACTGATTCTTACCATTTCAAGGACCTAAGCCAGATAGCCTGCATTTCCCTACTTCACTCGAACAACCAGTCAAAAACTTCGTTGACTGATGTCACTTCTTGATCTGAGCACCTATAATTTCCCTTCAACCTAATGCTATCTCATCTCTCCTTGTGCATCAAGTTGTTCGGCAGGTGAAGCACGTTCTGGAACAGTTTTGTTCGCTGAAAGTTCACAACCTCATTGATTGACTTGCCGTTTTGATTCTTAACTCTTACCTTAACATCGGCATTTCTCATTTAGTAGTGTCAATACATGTGAGTAATTCTGTGGAAGGCTATATGGTCGAAAGCTGTGGCCTTCTGTCGACTTTTGCTCTCAACAATCATGTCTCACATCTGTATGATAGTATACAGCAGACTGCAGCATAGCACGCTCACCTGCTGATGGTTATTTGGATGTCTAACAGGCACTAGAAATGGCATAAGTTGGCAAATAACAAACATCTTTTTTTTATCCAAATTTAGATTGCGTCAGCAACGGACCAGTTAGGATTGGTCTAACTTGGCAAATAAGTCGAATGATCTTGCACCTCACTACCTATTCATTCTTGAAAAATTACCACACATTCAATGACAGACAAACAAGAAAAGTCAACGTAGGACCTCGCACACAAGTGCATCACTTCAAGTTGTCGCACTTCAAAGCAGTATGCAAAAAACTTATATCAAAACAGACAAAGGTGTATGGGAGGAGAAGGAATTTGAAAATTAGGGCTGGTCACAACATTCAAGCTTTCGGAGGCAAAAACAACTGAACACATCTGTGCCATTGTGACTGATTTCTGGCCAGGTCACCAAAGTTTTTCAACCACTCATTCCTATCCTCTCGGTGACCCCACTCAAATAGCCTTCATCTCGCCAAATAGCTCAGACCAAGAGTCAGAGACTTCATTGACTGCTGTCACCTCTTGGTCTCTCAACCCCGGACCCTCTTCCAACCTAGTCTAACATCACCTAACATAGCATGTCGAGAAAGGCGGTGGCTCGGCATGTGCAGAACGTGTTCAAGACACCTCAGTCGATGAAGTTTCACAATCTCATTGACTGACTCCCCCCCTTGTTGAGTACTCTATGCCTAACGTCGACATTCCCCACACAGTGTCTGCACCACACACCAGCAATGTTGCGAAGACACCTGTGATCAAAAACCTATAACCAGTCTATATCTTTTACTTCTAACGATCGTCTTTCAACCCTGTTAGAGAAGAGAATAAACTGCAGCGCGATATATTAGTCCTTTGATAGGTAAGCATATATCTCGCCGGTTGGCATTAATTGGCAAATGCCAAATGAGCTTGCTGTATCTAACTTGAGATTTCATCAGCAAGCAACCCATTCGGAATGTTGCAAATCCCCAAGTAAAAGAAGTCGTCGACATATTCCACCATTTTACTCCTTATCATTAAACTAGGAGTACTTGTAGCAGACCAGTCCTGGAGCATCACCTTACATTTGAAAGGTGCCAACGAAACGCATTCCAAACATACTCAGATTTCTGCTCGAAGCATTTAAAAGACCCTGAAATGCTTCAGTGTCTTCACCTAACAGGAAAATATTATCTCCATGCTCCAAATCAACTAAATGACTTCCAGGGAGTAGATCAATCCTTGTGAAGTTAGGCGTCCATTAGTGCATCTATAACAAAGTCAAACAGGAACGGCGACATTGGACATCCCTGACAGACATCACTAGTTGTCGTCAATTCACATGACTAATCTCCAAAATCTCAAGAATTCTCACTGTCAAAATCAGAAGACATATAAGCGAACAATATTGTTTTCAAGTAGCCCTCATCAGGCTTTAGGCTAAGATACATAAATGTTTTCATACATAAAGCATTAAACTAATCATGGTGGATTATTTAGCCTGTGGTAACTAGGACGTGAAACATGCAGATAGCAGATATCTAGACAATAATAATAACAGTAGTGATTATCTGAATGATAATTAGAATGACGGGAACAGCATGGTACTGTAATTATTTAGACAAACAATGTCTATCAAAACCTATAAAGATAAAAGTTACGTAATACTAAAGGACGAAATGTGTAGATAATCAAAGTCTAAACAAATAAACACTTGTGAAAATGGTGAAGAAGGGGGAAGAGGATGAAAACTGAATTCACCTTTGAAGTCATTTATTAGGTTTTTCTCTGGCCAAGTCAGAAATAAAGGCTGCACAATCTTTTTCTGCACACAAAGACTAGGTTTGTTGTTTTCTCTAATTCCCATAGTTATGTGTAAAATGCGAGTGCAAATTCTATTCGTAAGACTTTTTGGAATGCGACATATGATTTTGAACGCTTTGGTCTTGTCTATTACATGACCGCTGTCGACCAAATGTGACAGAATTGAACTTCGTATTGACTTCACTTGTCTCTTTTCTAACCATGACAGTAGGCGCTCAGCAACACGTTTGTTAAGCTACCTAGCTGTACGCCCAATATAGCTTTCTCCACAGGAGAAGCTGGATTGATAAATGCACACAAAAGTAACAAAACTGGCCAGCTTGTCTTTTATTTGAGCAACAATTATCGACCGACTAGAAAATGATAAGCAGAAGTTGGCAGTATAGAAAGTTCTTGTAATGACTGTGGGACAGAACTTCACCAGGTGCGTCCCCTGTAAATTGGAGCTTCATGAATATTGATTTCTTTTAAACAGTCTTTTGGTCAGATTTCCTACTCATTTTGTTTATGTTTCTCATGACAACACTGTAGGGGTAACCCATTTCCAGCAGCATTTTATGAATACATTCTGTTTGTGTTTGCAAGGCATTTACTTAGACTTTTTTCATATCGAATAGACACAAAGCCAAGGAAATGTATTTACTGACCCACAGATGTTATCTTTCTGTACACCCTTCTACTGAGTGACCCAATCCTCTCTTCTAATCAACATATTTTCTTGTTCTTCGTCACAAGTGAAAGTGATAGAAGGATGCACGCTACTGAATTTTCCTAACAGTTCGCTTTTGTCAACGTTTTGTTCAAGGACAATGAAAGTGTCATCAATATAACTTTCATACATATGCAGATTATCGATGACATCTTTCAGTGGTCAATTTTCAAGTTTAGCATAGAAAAATCAGCGTAATGGTGAACCCATGTCAATTCCATCAACTTGCCAGTAATATGTTTCATTAAAGAGAAAATGAATATTCACCGTATATTGCGGAAGTAATTGTTTGAAACTGTCTTCCGGAAGTTCAACATTAATCTGTATTTCCGATATCTGCTGATAAATGAATTCTACTGTTTCGAGAAGTAGTACATTGATGAATGAAGAAGAAGTATCTAAAGATACTGTATGTTTCCCCGTTAATACTCAATTTTTTTTAATTGGAGAGGAAGTCGTATACATCTTTGACATTATTCTTAACAAATTGTTTGTGCAGTGGTTGCGGTATTCCGATTAGCCGCTTTGCAATTTTATGATAAGGGGAATTGGACATATCCAAAATAGGACGAAAAGGAAGTTGTGGTTTGTGGACTTTAGGCCAGTCATACAATCACAGTGTGCAACACGCTGTGGGTTTAATTGCCTCTTACGAAGTTGTAGAAATTATATCCTTTTGTCTTATAGTTCTAAAAGGAAGTTTGTAACTGACTCTCCGTTTTACCGTTTAAATCCGTACCGTCACAAAGTTTTTGATACTTTGTTTCGTTGTCCAAAAGCGAGTTCATTTTGTCAATGTATTCGATGTTATCCATTAACACTATGCCTGCACCTTTATCTGGTTTACTTATAATCAGGCTTTCATATTTCTTTAGTGTTCTCCCCGCTTCTATATGCTGTTTAGTCAACAAACCTTTAGCAGAATAAATACTATTTATGTATTGCTGACAGCTATGAACCTGTGTTGTTTTGAATCTAGCTACTTCATCTTCAGATGATGGAACTAAGTCATTTGTTTGTGAAATGAAGTTCTCAAACTGCACATTTGTATCAAGTTGATTAATATGATCTCTGAAATCACAAAATTTAAGACCGAGCGACAAAATTTCTCATTGAAACCATGATTAATTTAATGTTTTATATATATGAGAAACCTTACGTATACAAACGTAAAGCTCTCTAACTGCCCTTACACGGCTAAATGAGTTCCAGCAGAAAGCTTTGATTAGAGTTATTTACTTTCTCGGTACTTCCTTCACAGCCAGACAGTGCAACAACACCTCACGGTAGGCAGAGCAAAATTCCGCCTGCAAGTCAAGAAGTGTCGGCTACCGGCACGTATGCCTGTGTTCTATAACGACTCGAAGGGTGAAAATATGATACGTTCACCCTCCTACAGCTCGATCTGAAACCTGCCTGGTTTTCTCCAGTTTTCGGTTCTCCGGCTTCAGTTAGGCCTTGGATAACTATGAATTCTAGGATCTTGGATACAATATTAGTCAAACCGATCCCCCTATGGTTGTCTATCTTCTTGTAAACTGGGATGATCAGAGAAGTAGACCAGTCCGATGCCACTACCTACGGTTCACATACATTACCCAGTACGCACGTCACTTAAATTAGCAACTTTCTACCTCCATCCTCTAAAATTTCAGGCGGTAAACTATCAAATCCTACTAATTTGCGTGGTTTCAGCTTTGATGCAGCCTTTTCAACTTCTACGTGCCATTAAAGTTCAGAATGGGTGTTGGGCAACTGAAGCGTTGGTATGAGCCGGTTGAACTGTGCCTCAGAGTGTTCTGCTAAACGTTCTAGCCACTTGTTGTGGGAGGTTATCAACGTCCCATCCATTTCCTTGATGGTTTCACTCACCATCATCTTCTTCTTGCCAGTATCCTTAATAAGCCTAAATAGTCGCCGCGTGTTATCCCCCACTGATGTCTTCTTCATCCTTCTAGCTTTCATCACCCATCACTCCTTGCGGTCAACGCGAAGACTCCAAGTCAATTTGCGCTTAAGTTGCTTTCACCATTCGTTTTGGTCAAAGGCAGCTGAAATCAGTCTTCTCGCACCCATCATTTTGGCCGACGTCGCTGAAATCCAGTGACATCTGCTAACCTTCAGGCGTAGGTTACCAGTTGTCTTTACCACTGTTTCCACAGTAGACAGTGCAGCAGAGCATTGCCGTCACGTCCAGACAAACACTTAGCTATCTCCCCCTAAATCTGGACTTGATTTCCTCATCTTTCAGTCAACCATAGACAGGCTTTACTTTCCCCTGTTTCCTGTGATCAGTAAGGTGTAGACATAAACCAGCGCGTGCTAACGCTTGATCGGAGTCCAAACTAGTGCTTCAGAAACAGCAGCAATCCTCTCCAGATCTTATCCAAGTACGCCTTACAGATGTATGATCGATCTGTGTTCATTGTAGGTTTAAAGTAGGCGGACGCCATGTGAGACAGTGTCTCTTCTTATGATTAAAATTAGTGTTGGCCAGAAACGAGTGATTGTCGGAACAAAACTATCATAAAGGATCACCCATCTTTTGCTCGCTGGCATGAAATTCCATAAATATCCCAAAGATGCCTTTCCAATTGGTTCAACTTTCCTACTTGAGCGCTAGAGTCATCTGCCATTCTGACTACATCTGGACGTTTTGTTTTCTGTAGCAAAGTTGACAGCTTCTCATAGAACTCATCGCTTGGATCATTCAAATTAAAGTTGGTTAGTGTGTAGGCAGAGATTACAAACAGGCATCGTCTAGTCTTATTTTCTTCTCAGTCTTTACAGATCCTTTCAGTCAAAGAGCACATAGACGGCTGTTTACTAGCATCTAGTCGAGAAGTGGTATTTCTACTCTAAAACCTAATGATATGTCTGCATCAGCGGGTCCACAAGAATTAGGCACTGGAGCTGTACAAGGTGAGTTTCGAAGATTCACAACTGCGACCAAGTGAGGCCAATTTAATGACCACACTCCTGTCCTGCATATGTATCTCAGGGACACAACATACATCCATTGCTTCAGATTTCGGAGTTCTAGCTACTGATGCTTGCTGTCCGACTTGGAATAGGGCTAGGATGTTGAAGGCTCCAATGTGAAATGGATAGTGGGGTCTAAGGAGACCAGAAATGAGGTTTTGATGACTTTGATCGTTCCACAAGTAGGTCAGCCAAGCCAGGTATAAAGGCGCTTAGGTGGCACTTTCGGAATCTCAGCCGAAAGAACAGATGACAGCAGTCACCTGCTACAAATGTTCTCAGACAACCACCCGTTTTGGGCCAGCATGGAATCCGGGCATAATGAGATCTTGGCTGACGTGGCGTCCATCTACCTCAACACAGTGGTAAACAAAAAGAAACCATAGTGCAATCAGTTATTGCTAGAGCGGGTAAGAGAATGCTGCTGTTTCTGGATCACACGTTTGGGTAGTAACCACCCACTGATTAGAGAGCAGGTATGTCTACGCCTAAATTAAAGTAGAAAAACTAAAGCTGAAGACCATGTTGAGGGCTGCTTTCAACAAGGAACTAGCTAGAAGGTCAGCGGAACAAAACGGTGTCACTCATTTTCGCAAAGCCTGCTGCAATTTCAAGTCTGCTGCAGGAGCAGTGTTAAAGACTGTAACTGACTGTCATATCAAGGTTTGAAAGTTTCACTAGATCTCAATAACTTCTACCAAATTACCAAATGCATGTGAATGCAATCCTGCAGACTCCGAAGGCAACTCAAACATGGACTGACAAAGATTCTACATTATAATCGTGCGCAGTGGTAGGGAGGAAAATGTAAAGAGATGGAAAAAGCATTGGTGACAGGTAACAGTAGATAGTGAATTAGACTGACCTAGTAAACTGGAATAAAAAGTCGGTCGTTAATGATATCGTAGAGGAGCATGGGAAAGACAACTGCAACAGGGGTGAAATACGTACAAAAACAGTCTAACTGGTATCAACTCAGTCTTCTGCTACGTGCTATCTAGTCAGATCTGAAATTCAGCACTGAGATAGGCCCTTCCACACTGTCAGAAGTTGATAATTGAGTGACTTGAAATAAGGAAAGATAACAGGCTTCGATGGGGGTAGCGCAAGAAGCACTTCAGAATACTGTTCAAGGACTACTGGTTTAATTGTATTCTTTCATAGATTCCTACGGATTAAATTGAAGAGGATGTAGATAAGCTGTAGACCATATCAAAGCACGAATACATTCGTGCTGACAGCTGATTACCCTACCCATTATTTAAATCTCCTAATTACGTATCGGGGTACATTACCATCAAACTCTGGGTACGATAGAACTTCAACTTCAAACTGAGCTTAAATCACAGAATGCTATTTATTCACACAGGTATTATTTTGATAACTCCCTAGGCTCTAAAGTTTGCCCAAACATTCTGTAAGACTTTTACTATCTACTCATACACAGCACAAGAAATGCATTATTCACTTAACAAAAGACAATTTTTGATGATATACACAACTCATACCTAACCAAATTCTATCTGGTTAAGTTATTGAGACCCAGCTGCCATTACACATTTCACAGTCACAACAATAAAATAATCATATCTAGTGCAAAGTTTACCGAAACTTTTCAAAAATTGAAGACAACACACTACACTAAACGAAAATAACACCGAAAGTATAGAGTTTAAAACTAACCTGAGTGAAGAAAGCATAACCCTTGCACCAGACTGTTTGCAACTTCTAGCAGCATGCGCAGACGCACACCACCTGGATTATGCATAATGGAAAACCAGTCATTGGTAGTCGACGTCGTACAACAATAATTAGGGTCTGCACTATCCTGTGGTTGGCTAAATGAGTTTAGAATGCGATCACCATGCGAAAACAAATCCTTTAATGTGCCATATACACATATCTCCCCGACAAGTAAAGCACATGGTGATGTAACCTTTGGAAGAGAATCAGAAAAGTATCTTTTAAGCTTGGAGAGATGGGCTTCTGTAGGATAATCCAACCAATCGACAGCCATCAAACCATGCACTCCTTGATGTCGAAGTAACATTGAACGGTGTAACAAAACAACACGGTGCCATATATTCCTGGTCAATCTGTCATTTGTTCTAAACACTTTTGCAACAACTCGTTCTCCCTTCCAGTTCCCTGTTAAAAGAAATGTCAGATACAGCTTTAACCGACAGTCTCAAAATAATTGCAATGATATCAAGCTGGTGAAAGGAAAATCTATCATTCCTTTGATCGAAAATACTGCTGATCCGTTAAGTTGGTAGTCTTCAGGACTGCTACATGATAAAGTTCTTCCAAAACACAACTATGATTGTACGAACATTAAAGTTACTGAATGATAATTTGGATGTGTTTTTCAGTTTTAAGTACACAGCATCGAAGAATACAAGTAGCAGTATATAAAACCCGAGACACTTCGATAAAATATCTAGCTAGCTTATAAACAGTATTCTCATAAATTTTCGAAAGTGTAAGCCCAGTAGTACACCAAAAGAAGTTTTCTTAACGACTGCCAAATTTGGTAACTTTCATATCGGTAAACATAAACTTTATCAAGTGTAACCAGACTAATTCTGTTATAAAAATGATAAAGAAATCCATTACTGACATATACCACTCTACATTTTAATAATCTTTGGTCCTCTTAGGTGGTAACAAAGGGTTTGAGATAGCTTTTCCACTCAGATGGCATTTGTCATAACTAACACTACTATTGCAATCACTATTTCATATACCACACAATAATTTGGTGCATCTACAGTCACTATTCATGTCAAAGGTAAGTCGAAAAATATGACTATTCACGTTAGTCCATTGCAAATATATAAACGACTACAGTGGTTAACTTTTGAAAGCGACCATACAAACATTTATCATCCGCAAGAAGAATTGCAATTCTTCTTTCATGATATATATGCATACAAAAGAACTCCATGAAGTAAGTGCTGATGAAGTCTTCTAGCCTGATGACTTGAATTCCAACAACACACCTCAAACAATCATCATAGAGAAAAACATTACATGGGGAATACTGCAAAGACCCTTTAGTTCAAGCTGAAATAGAACTCAGACAACGAAAGATAACAGACACAAGAAGATGCCACAGTATTATTTTCGGCTGGTAAATAAGACGGTGGAATATAATTACTTTTCAGTATAATAGGTCAGTATGGACCTCCTAAAAAGACACTTGTTCTGATCAAATGACTCATGAACATAAATGATACTGACTAAAGTGACATAGTAGACTATCAGTAAGTAGGAATGATCGCTAACTATGCATCCATTCGACTACCTGCATTGAACCACTATATCTGATGTCCACTTTTCTCGAGCAAACGCAAGAAAAATATACAGAATTTTTATGACAGAAATCTGTGTAGCTTTGTTGGTACATTTTGAAAAATACATCGAATTTAGAGTTTGATGCAGTGTTATGTGAGAAAGGCAAGTAGGCCAACAAAGTAATAAATTTGCATCAACTGAGTTGGTTTGAATGTGTTACGTATGCAGAACCATTTTCTTCCAGAGGCAAATTATAGCCGGAGTGAGATTAGGTTGGAGGAAAGTTAATTATGGTTTGCAAAAAGAAATGACATCAGACTAGTAGTATTTTGACTGCTTATGCGACCGGTCTTAGAAAGTGGAGGTTACACGGTTAGGATTCTCAATAGACCAGATTTAAATGTGTCCAAAGTCTCCTTGATGTGTGTTAAAACCGACCCCAATGACGTGGATGGATTAACTCACTGTTATTTTCAAAATGACGAAAAATTTCATCCACCTATCTCTAATTGTTATCTCTCTCATTTCTTGCTCTAATATCCTATCTTTCCATTTCCCCCTCTCTGTTTTTTAGGAAATGTGGCACTCTGAACTGATTCACTTGGATGGAAGACTACATGCTAACTTATGCTTCTGTACAATTGTGACTCATTTGTAATGTACTCGTTTATCAAATCTATTTGTATTTTAACTAAGGTAATAATAGTTCTTTTTTCTGAATATACCCTTTGTAATTCAGAGATGCTCCTTAAATATTTAAGAAAGTTACTGATCCCATCCCAAAGTAATATAACAAAGGTTCCATTTTGATTCACTATACGATAAAGTACTTGTAATTTACAGAAACTTAAGTTACTCCTTACCAATTTCGTTTAATTAAGTAGCCACCCTCTAATAATACCATTATAGGCCAGTCGGTTAGCAACTTTTTGTAATATCAATTGTCAGTCTGCATAAACACCTCATCCCCCGTCAGTTGCAAAATAAATTAGAAACTAGATCAACACAACAAGAAAAGTCACCGGACTCATCCAAAGCTCGGGAGCCGAATAAAACTAATGCCGCTTTTTGTATGTGATCAATAAAGTAGAACGAGCGTATGAGTCTTTTGCAATTATTTGCGAGTGGGTTCCACGAAACTGTAGAAGTTTTCGTCTTGACAACATGCTTGGAACCAATATTCGACACACTGTTCAAGCATTAGATCTCAAAGGGTTTCAAATATCTACGCTTTTTTAACGCATAGTCTGTGTATCAGTCAAAAATCAAAACTGCAGTACTTCGTGTGAAATATTATACATTTCAAGGAGACCTTTAAAGGACTGAATGAGAGCAGCATACCAATGCTTAACGCAGTTGATGCACCCATTATTCTATGTCCTACTCTCTCTAATAGTCGATCAATACCTACGACCTGTTGTCTTCATTCCAGTCACATGGGAAACCGCTGACAAGATAATTGAATATGTATTACGACTAGGATAATGAGAAGTAGCACTATCAAATATTAGTTACCGATTTTCTTACAGAATCGATACTCGGTTTTTTGCAGAAAATGCAAAGCAAAGTTTTTCATCTTCCAGTGAAAAACTGAATAGGAAGTTATGCTCCATTTTTAGGTGGTCATTTAACTAGTAAAACGCTCAACTTCAAAACCGGAGACCAGAATTAAGATATGTAAACAAAGTTAGTATCCTAAAATATGAAGCACTACTGGTCAAGCTCTGAGCTGTATACTAAAGATTGGAACTCATCACATCTGATCATCTGAATATGTTGGAGAATCACATTTATTTCCATAAAAAGTCAGTGAGTTCACATAACAGAGATAAGTGAAGGTAAAACTCGGAACTCAGAAATTTCACACCTAAAATTGCTCGAAGGGCATGCAATTATAATATGGTATTTGATACATAATGAACCAAATAAACAAATGTTTACAGCAATCTTAAAATCACGTGCTAAACACCTGTTACTTTGGGGAAAAACCTCTCTCTCTCTCCCTATATATATACTCAAAGTCAGAGCACTTATCATAAATTTTTGATAATAAACTTGAAAGAAATCACATGGAATTTCACCAGTGAACATTGTTGAAACGGTAAAACTGCTTTCTTTACATCTACAAAGTACACTGACAGTTTTAGACATTTCCATTTTCACAGTATGTTCTCAGTTCAAAACATCATAGAGTTATAAATAACACAGCTATATGCTTATCATATTTACCAGACTTTAAGTCAGTATAACGCGAAAAATCAGCGGGTTGACTGAAAAAATAACATTGCTAAGGAGAAATGCCACTCAAATTGAGTCTTACAAAAAGAACAAGAGGTACGGAGCTGCAAGGGTATCCAGATTTATATGAGTGTAAGACGTGGCTGCATTTCCTCTTTTGTAACCTACTTGTACTCACATGATTTAGAGTCTCAGGTTATCTGTTTTAGCTACCTCATAACCTTCAGTCGGGAGGAAAACAGTTTTCTATACAGATGAAACCAACAGCAGGAGTTCGCAGACGAGCATCATGTTCTCATTTGGAAAATCTATGACTTTTAAGATCTTGCTTCTACTTGTTGTGATAATTTGGGAATAAGCATGCGTAACATATTTCTCAATTACCTCAAATAAAATTTCACAACCTTACCGAGTAGTTTTCTTATTTCATATTGTATCACCTTCACACCGATCACACTGACTTCATATGTGATGCTGCGATAACTGTGGCCATAAAACATGCGGTTTTTGTCCTCGTCATATTTCAAATACACGTAAAAGAGCGTCAAAGAACTTCAGATTTGCATACGATGACCAACTAACCTAGTGAAAGTCTAAAGAATTTTCCACCACTACCAAAATTAGAAACTTAAATTTAATGTACTAAATCAGAGATGTGAAGTTATTTGCAGTCCTTAAAGTATTTCACCCCTCGCTGTTAGTCCCAAACATCAACCCGATATTCACTAGAGCATTCTTTGAAACACTTTGTATAGGTTTCTATAAAACTAATGAATTACCTACTCATCTAAAAGGTGGCTTTCAGTAGGTATGTGAAAAGTAGCTAGTGAATTATGAGGTCTACATAGTGTCGCTAATCGGTCTCAACACATCCGACAAAAATTAGACTTAAATACAATGGAAGTAAACCACATAATCTTGTAAGCGCATAGAAAGAATCCATAAACGGAATAATCTACAAGATCAAATTACCACATAACCCTAAGACAAAATATTTGACAAGTATCTTCATACTGCTATGATAAGAACCAAAAGGATGCATATCATAGGCTTGAAATAAAAATCTTGTAACCTACCTGTCCAAACATCTGAAAAACGTCCAACACCTAAAAGACTGTCCAAAGTTATTTGTCTAGCGACTGTTTGAGGAATCAGATGCAATAATCCGCTTCTCGATAATGGATCTGTTGAATAGTGGGATTTTTCAATTATGCTGCTGCCGAAGTTGTGCGTTAAATCCGTCATCAGCGTGTGTGGACTGGAACCATCTTTTACTTTACTCGACCTGTCAAATTTCGCAGGAACAGGATAAGTTGTTTTAAAGCATTTATTATGTGGCAATCTGTTCATGAACTTGGCGTCGCAGACTACTGCTGCCCCTGAAAGCCTAAATACAGAACTTTCGGTGTTTGACACAGATAAATTAAGCTTCCTTTTTTGTGCGCGACGCTTATACACACAGCAAACAGATGCAAGGACAAGAAATAGCACAACGAAAACCAAACTGAAAGTAACAATCAGAACGACATGAAAAAGATACTGGGCTCTGTTTTCAGGAGTCAGTTGTTGTCCCCACAAATAATTTTTTCTCAGCTTATCATAAGCCAAGCTTCCACGCGCAGAACCACCGATCAACATATCCGGCCCGACATTCATGTGTGGCTTTAAACGCAGGTTCCCATTCGCAGCACTCTCCCTACCCAGGATATTACTTTTTTCCAGATGTTCGAAGGCGGTCTTGAGGGCATCCATGTCCGTATTATGGTGCAAAAATTTTGGAAAAAGATTTGTATTGCACATATTACTGGAATTACAGCATTCAATGGCCTGAGGGACAGCGTGTTTAGTAAGATGACTGTTGCAAGCCAGTATCGTTTTGTCGTGTGAATCTAGACAGCCGTATACAACATGGATAAACCTATTTAGCTTGGTTGGATTAACGTTCATCGTGAGTGAATCAGCTTCAGAGTTCACTTTGGACCGAAGATACCTTCCTAAGGCGTCAATATTGATCGCCCGTGCAGTGTAACAATGTCCATCAGAATTAACTTTGCAGCTACCCATGATGCTACGCTTTTTATTTGATCTAAAATGTGATTCTGATACACAGTGGGTATTGTCATTACAAGAACATACTAAATCCCTAGACTGCGACCCGTCAGTGTGTTTGCTCATATGTCCTGAGAAAATGCGGTCATGAATATATTAAGTTAGTTGCTTTGCAACGATATATGCTTCCCAGTATTGCAGTAGAACATCAGTGTATGACGAAATGAATAAACGCGATTAACTAAGAAAATATCAGATCTAGCGCTTTATCGCAAGGGTGTTTCGTCAAGTTTTTCGTACCATCTAAACACTTTCAAGGCCATAAAGCCGAATACCAATCTCTGACTAAATTATTGTGGCTATAATCTTTCATAGATGAGTTATCAATGAAAAATGCACTATTCGGAGTGATTTTGTGACTGAATGTCTATCTCACTGCTTCCATTTCTAACAAAGTTTGTGAGCAGTAAATCTCACCTGTTTCCTTGTAAAAGTAATTTTCCCCAGTGAAAAAACTGGAAAAATCTTGCCCAAGACAGCTTGAGCATACTTTATAAGCTCTCCAGATTCTACATTGTGACATTGAAGCTATCATTCAATAACCTCAGTTTCCCTATTATTTCATTATGCCACATCTAATGTCATATCAAACAGCCGTTCTAAAACTCATTAGACCTACGAGACTCTGAGGCATGCAGTTAACTCTGAAGATCCTCATTTTCGCCCAGGGTGCTCTGAATGTGCATTCATGAACATATCCATATATCTGTGGAGTGGGTATTTTAACAGCATGAGCTGACTGTCATCACTGCAGCTAGGTTGAATGGGTTCGCTTAGACTGTAAAAAAGACAGACGTTTCTTTCTACCTAGCGTATCTTTGACTCCTAGACTAAGAACCGCTTGTGCTCTTGGCTAAAGTTATACTCGGAAATGTGCTTAAACCACTAACCATTAGTTTCGGGTCGCTTTTTGGGGAATTTTTAAAAACCAGATCTGGTTCAACATGCCTTCTAATAGGTTGAAGTACTTTTCAGTGTAAATCAACCGATTTTATACCACCTAAAAGTTCATAAGAGCAGTGTGGACAGCGAAACGGTTATCGACTGCCTTAATGCATTTCAAAGCTACCACTCTATTACTGTATGAGATACTTATACAGCACCACAGAGGACCACTTACAACTAGGTTCTCCATTCCCTTGTAGATCCAGATGGTTAGTTAAAACATCGCATAGAAAGAAGAGCGAATTCTGGGAATTTCACGATGGTGCATTCAAACTTTCAACTCCGTGAAATGTCAGGTAGCAGAAATACCCCAAGTTATATAAAAATGTGTATCCTTTGCTGTGCTACGATATCTACCATACCATGCTTCTCTATGCTTGGGAAAGTAAATCACCATCTCAAAAAAGGTTCATAGGACAGCTACGCAGAAAATGATCGTACTGTGACAAAGACTTTGGCCGGAACGCCCAGTTGCTCTTGAGATGTATCCGGTACAATATAGAATGATCAGTGGGGTATGATCAGGGCATGGTTTATTATCCATAGTCTTCATCCTAGCCGACCGCTTCCAGGCCTTGGTCGGAAGCCCCACCTTATAAATTATCCCTTGAGAATAAAATATGAGAGGGCGTTAAGGCGATCTGCGCCAGCTCATTTGCGGTTCGAGTAAATAGGCTATAGAACCGCCCTTTAAAAACGCAGTCACGACCCCCTTTTACCCGCGCCTTCGAAACGAAATTAGATGCATACCTAGAGCCCTGTGGTATATGTGGGCGGCACTCAAGAAGCCACTCATCTTCTTACTAGCCATGGGTTGCAGCACGACTCACAGCAAGCTGAAGAATTATTGAAATGACTGTTTCCATCCTCTCAGGATTTTGGAACTGAAGAAGGAAGTAACCATTCAAACAAAGAACATATTTCATCAAATAGATGTAGCGCCTAAAAGACTATTTTTCTGCACGTCTACAGTACGAAGTTTGAGACCTGAAAGGAAGATTAAACGTCAGCCATTACACCATTCTGAAGTAATTTTCATCAAGGATTGAACGATCCCACAGGTTATGATATCCCACCAGAACTTAGAGAAGCCCGACTCGGAGTAAGCTACTAACCGGTTTTTGATCTTAATTCTGATCTCGGTTTGTAGGCAATCACTGAATTAAAGGCTTTGTAGCGCTAGTTTGGTTCCTCAAAATTCTGCGACTGCACAGCCCTGAAAGATCCCAAAGCACTTTCTATTGCTCGTAGGTTTCCACTGGTTTTCCAACAGATTCCAGTACATAATCAAAATAAATTTCAAACCGATAAGTTCATGCATGGAAAAACCTGAAGATTTTGGTGAGACGGTAGTCGGATGAGTTTCATTAACCAATGTTAGGAAGAGTCCAAGCACGGCATGACAGCATGAACCCTCTGTTTTGTCGCCTACAGAATGGGTACCCGATAGATACAAATAGAGGATGAGATGGACACTTGAGGTGCTTGCATATATGCGACAAAGAGCTAATATGTAGGTTTGCAAAGGTGAGCCTGACACGACTGATATGTAGTGGGTCTGTCATCTATGGCCTACTATCGATACTGGGATTATCCACACCGGAGTCAATAATTACTCCATGTGGTTCAAAATACCCGTAACTATTTGACTGGTTATAATTCTGTTGACCAAGCCAGAGAGTGGAAGTTGTGAAACTGGTTGCGACTTGGCAACCTGAAAAGCCACAGGATTCAGCTAACTTAAGTTGTAAAGTGAGTGCCTATCAGTTGTGGTTTGTATCACAGTTATTCCAATCACAATATTCAGCACAGTCACCTTGAGTATACCTGTCTTCAACCTAATCTGGAGTGATAAGAGGCTTCAGACTCACGAGAATTTCACGAGGAAAAAGTGTAAGGTTTATATTGATCACCTAACTCACTTGGTAACAGCCATAACTTCTGCTAGAATACGATTTCATACGGTTCTTCTGTGGTAGATCAGGATTTAGGAAGATTTCAGACAGCTGAATGGTAAATGTTCGATGTGACTATAGGGTGTTGGAGAAATAAGGCTTTTCATACTTCTAGACAAGGAATCAGCAACCTGATGGCATGGCAGAGGTTCCAAAAGTTAGGTACGCAATGAAAAGACATCCGTGTTCTCCACTTCCCTGTAGTCCATCAATAATTGTCTGTGATTACAACTCGCTTGGTTCATTTTACAGGCCAAGGTATTGGAAACCACACACACACACACACACCCCCATAGTCTCAGGTAGTCTTTTAACGACGGGCGAGAGGCATATTTTGTTCCCCATGACTTTCTTCAAGTTGCGCAGTAGTCTGAACTGAAGTTCTTTTGAGGGTTGAATGTTCTGCATTCCCAGTTATCAAGGCTCACCAAATTTTGCATTGCCCAACCACGATTTCATCCGCTTCCGTTAAACGCTTCCCAGCCAAGGCCATCAAGTGAGATTTTTGGACCAACTAACCACGTCAGCAAATGGGTGAGTCACTGATTATTGGCTGAATTGGCTGGAATGCATCGCTGATGAGCTCCCTCACAAGTCAGAGAACCAGGCACCTGTTCCGTGGATCATTACGATCTTGGGAGAATAGCCCTCAGATCAAAATGAATATTCCCTCTGAATTCAGGTTTCTGAGCATTCCCTTACCCGGTCGTTTCCCTACACAACCAAATAAGTCTAAGGCAGTCCTAGCGCGTAAGGACTCGGCAAAATTACCGGTGAGATTTCTGGCCGGTTTTGGATTTTAAAACTTCATTTTTAATACAGACGCTCATACATATAAGACAATCCTCCAGGAAGTAATTAGCTAATTGAGGGACACCTCACAGCTGTAATACCCGGCAAGGATCCCTTGGGCTTAGAAACCACCTTTCATCGAGAAAAACCGCAGTTCTTCTGGCGCACGAGCGAGATAAGCATGCTTTTCTATTAAATGGACAGTATGAAATATAGAAGGCTATGTTTTTCCCTCACCATCGTTTCATTCTAAAACTGGGCGTAGTTGCTGCTTCCTGTCCAGTTTCACTGAGTCTTACAACGGAAACTATACATGCCAAAGTAGGGTAAAGTACTCAAGAAATGAATTGATTCGTCACACTGTTCGTGCCGGTTACAATCTGGTCTTCCATAATCTTGAGATAAGGACTCTCCATACTCACTATTGTTTTGCTGAGAGTGGAATCCTGATGAGAACAAAAGATACTCTTGGATGCGGGCAACCATTGCTACTGTTTTATCATCAATTTTGTGCCAAAAGGTGGAATTGAAAGGTAACTTCAGCAACAGCACCAAAATATAGTTTGCCACCAATCCAAGTCTTCGCATTACTTGATTATTTATTGAACGCAGACAAGATTTAATTACGTCTGGGCCGTTTAAGGTTCCTATGATTTCACAAAGCTCTAACTCTACATAACTTGACTTCTCAGTAGCTCGAGTGTCACGTTGGTTTGACTTTGTCCCTGCCACGTGGCAGCAGTTGTGCTGGAATCCCTCAGTCTGTGAGTTAGTTACCCTATAGTTAGTTTGCCAATCCACGAAACTGTTATGGCTTTGCGCAAATAGATACCACTTTTCCTTCCCGTCAGTCAATACATTGGCCCAGAATTCACCTCAAACATCCTAAACAGATGTTTCTGACAGTTCATTGTGTCACATCTGATTTGTACGGTACAGCTGTTCATTCATCTTTTTAAAGACTATAAGTTGTATCCATCTTGACCGTTGACGCTGTACCTGCTTATGAGTGCTTGAATTTAGCTAGGACAAGCAAAATGCCTAGTCTTTGCGTTGGGAAATTGGGGGAGCGATCCTTTAAATAGTTTGAAGAGCTGCGTGCCTCAACAGTCCCCACACGGAATTCGACTGAGTCGCCGGAATTAGACCAGAAAGAAATCCCGAGACTTCATCTGACCTTTCCAAAGATAGTTTTCTAACGGTTAACGGCTGGATGCCGTTCAGGAATAGGTGGCTGAGACATTGAAATATTGATGATATCAGGCAAGTGATTACTTCTTCGAAGAGCCTCATGGACATTGAAGTCGGGCGTGTTTATAATCCCGACAGAACTAACTGAATTGAGTCTGTATGCATTACCGTCAGGTCCCCGTGAGTGCACTGTGAGACCCGTTTGGTCGGATAGTGTTCCTATGTTAACTCAAGGGAATCCTGTGAGAAGAATTTGTTAACTGTTGGCAGCGAAAATCTGAGGCAGGTTATGATCACCCGTGATGATA